TATCTGGTGACACAGATAAAGACTTTGCTTAGAGATCACACCTGTTAAATTAGCTTAAAAATACACGAAAGATAGCTAATTACGAAGCTAACTATACACATTCTTTGACTATCTAATGTATATAAAGTTTAATAGCAGTTCTCGCTTCCCTAACCAATGTGTCCACATGGCATCCTGGCCCCTCAATAAATCACGATGACCGATATTAGTAAAAATTAGGAAATGTATAGGCTATAAAAACATACAAGTATCTTAAAAGGCAAAATATTTGCGAAGATTTTTCATGAGGAGATACATCAAATAGTCTTGCCAACCAGGGAAACACAACTAAAGGGGAAAGCAATGCTCCAAAAATGAACCAAAACTACTCAAGGAAATAAAATATTTCACAAAACCGCGAGCACCTGGGACATTTGCTGTGAGCAAGACTTCAAGCTGGTCATTACTTGCAGATGCGTCTTCAATGAGTTCAAATACATCTTGCTTAACGTCAATTTGGGGTCGTATTCCTTTGCTCCAGAGATAAGATGGTTTAAGTGGATATTTTCTAGAAATAAATGACAGGCTCTAGGCTATGATAATACGACAGAAAAATACCCTGACGGGGAACGAAAAAAGTGACGAACGGACGGCAATCATATCGCGGCTAGATCAAAATTAGCGGGTAATTTCAGATGATATAGTGCATAACTAATATTGATTATGGCTTTTATTTAAAAGTTAACCAAACAAAAATACTTTTTATAGCATGTATGACCATTACTATAATCCAGCTTACGGTCGATGAGTGTAGTCGCCGTCCCCTTCTCGCGATTCATAGATAGGCTTCATCTATACTTCACCAAATTAATTTCCAATAGGTTACTGGTTTTTATTTTCATTTTTAGCCTTTTAATATCTGCTATTGAGTCTTTTGGCTATCCCCTTTTGGAATCCAACCACATTGATGGATTAGTAAGTCCACCTGTTGTTCTGATTTATATTTAGGACTCCGGGAAGATGAAGACCGATCTATTTCGTTGCAGCGGAAAGCCTGATATTTCTGAAGTTAGTACTCGACGTAAGCGTAACTTGGCTTCAAACGCTGTATCGTACAAACTAACTCATCCTGAGCTCCACCGCTCTCACAAGAGACTTAAACTATCAGACTCTTCATCATACAAGGAGAATTCTTCTTCTGACTACGATACTTCAAATATGCAACGTACACGTCGAAGCCAACGACCTCTTGCCGCCCATAATCAGCTTGATTCTATCCAGGAATCCACACCCGAAATATACAGAGTACCCCTTACCCGCAAAAGATCTGCCTTACTCAGTTCAGCATCTCATGCTCTATTGCGAGGACCTAGAACTCGATTATCAGAGAGTGCACGTTCTAGTCCTAGAATTACTCCTAGGCAAAAAAGAGCTAGACGTGCAAGCGTTGATACTCTGCCTTTTTTCGAAATACCAATCAACAATGCTATCCATGAATCAGACTCTTCTATGCCTACCCACTACACACGATCCAGGAAGCGTTCAGCTACTAGTATATCAAGTGAAGCTACAACTGAGGAAAACAACACTTCCACCTCTCAACCCTCTCCTTCTTGCACTATCCCTCTTGCCTCTGATCAAATCGATTCTTGGTTCTCCCCTCGCCGTTTCAAAACGATTGAAAAAGACCAAGCCGCTAAAATGAAGCGACTTAATACAAGAAGAATGGAGTTTGGAGAGGACGATATCAACGGTGCTGATCAATCTAGTTTCATGGAGGATTCGATTCTTGTAAGCTATCGATGACTTTTGTGCAATTCTTATCTTTATCCCTTGCGTTCTCATCACTCTTTTATTTATCGTAGAACCATTCAATAAGAGGTGATCCTAAGGAAAGACTGATGGAATTGTGTTGCCAAACAGACATAAAGCCTATTGAGGATTATTTCGATCCCACGTTAGTCTCATAATTTTTTTTACAGTTAACACTTATTACGTTATGCTATGTTGATGTGTAAGTTAACATTTCATTTTAGAGTCTTAGACAACCTAGCGAAAATTGGGGAAGGCGTATATGGCGAAGTTTTCCAGTCCAACAAAGGCACTGTGATTAAGATTTTTCCCGTTGATGGAGACACTCCAGTGAATGGAGAAAAACAGATGACTTTTGCAGATGTATATCCTGAAGTATTTGTATCTAAGTAAGAATTTTATTTCGTTGGTCCTATTCTGACAGTATTTAGCCTGTTTCATTAGTCCTCAAACAGCAATCTTAATTTTTTAAATATATCACTTATCGTATATATTAAGACCAAGATAATGTGGCCTTCTGTTTTGTCGTAGTCTTCCTTACCTTAATAGCATTATTTCGGCCTTGTTTTTACAACTTGGTCGCAGCGTCAATGAGACTTTGTGAAACGTACCTAGTCCCGTATCCTCTCCTATAGTATTCGTGATTTCCAGCATTTGACCATTGGCTGGGTACATTTCCAAACGTTTCACTTGTATCGTCAGTGAAAGGCGCCATCTTAAGCACATAGTTACAACTTAGCAAAGAGAGGAGTGAAGCAATCCCCTTGACCAATTTTCTCCAACCGTTGCGGCATCACTACTCGAAGGCGGAAATTGAAGTCTCTTAGACAGCCAGATTTCAGACAGCCAAATAGTGTTTTTGATTTTTAGCAGACTTCATTTGGCGAGAAGGTGGGGAAAAAATGGGGGAGGCAGAATGTAGGTCAGGAGCTCTGCAAACGGCATCTGGTACCAATGGTGGAGATGATTGCGCTTTACTAAACGCACTTATAGCGACATTTAAGGAAATGAGAGCACATAATCGTGTTAATAAATGGATTTGCCATATAAGTGGAGTTGAGTGAAAGAGATGCGCCACTAGAAGGTAGAACAAAAAATAGGGGCGAGCAGTGATGCCGCAACGGTTGGAGAAAATTGGTCAAGGGGATTGCCTTCACTCGTCTCTGCCATGTTGTAACTCTGTGCTTGTGATGGCGCCTCTCATTGACGATGCAGGCGAAGCGTTTGGAAATGTACTCAGCCAATGCTGGAAATCATGAATACTATGGCAGAGGACACGGGACTAGGTACGCTCCACAAAGTCTCCCTAACGCTCCGACCAAGTTGCGAAAACAGGATCGAACAACACTATAGTTCACTACAGGAAAATCCTTCTGTATTTCATTTTGCATCCAAGCATGCTATATGATATCAAGGAATTAATTTCTCCCGTGTTCATTGGCTCTGAAAATCAATTTTAAGTCCTAAACTAGTTGAGTTTGGGGGACTTTCATTTCATAAGAAAGTGCATGAAGAAGAGATTTGTAAGTCGATCTTTTCATTGTACCGCAGCCGTTTGGCTTTTATTCGACGTTGAGGTTGCAGTTCACGAGACCTCTCTCGTTTCGGGTGAAAACGGGCTGAGCTTCCATCCATCATATGATGGACATAATCAAAACTGGGTCTCATTCCTGTAACAGTCTCACGCTAACACTAGGGACTCTTATACTAAATAAAAGTCCCTCCAACAATGTTATCTCAGGGGATTCATCGAAACCCATTTTATGTTCGTATCTACAATATTCGATCTTTATTCATGCATGCTTGGTCTATGAGCTTACATTAGCCTTAAGGAAAGCTCACTTTATTTGGGATGATTGAGAGGGCCATATTATAAATGCAGCTTATTGTACATTCGTGTTTTAAACTTAGTGAAG